GGGGGGGGGGTGAGAGAGGAGAGTGAGGTAGCTGGTAGATAGCTAGCACCTCTTCACCAATTTCTCGAGGCGCAGACAGACGTTGAGCGGGCCCCTGTCTTGCCGATAGGGGCTGCCTTGCACACGCCCCTGTCGGATGTTCATGAGGGTCACACCCAGACAGAGAGACAGACAGACAGACAGGACAGGACAGGACAGGCGGCCATGCTTGCTGCAGGGATGCATCTCCCCTTATTCATCTGTGTCATTGTGCTCATCTACCTCTGTCTCTCTGTGCCTGATGTGTCTGATGTGTGTGTGTGTCTGTACCGTGGCCATACAGCCGCGCAGGACACGATGACGAAGCAGCTGATGCAGAAGGAGGCGCAAGTCAAGTGAGACCATCCAGACACTGCATCCCAACCACCCATGTATGTTCCCACACCTGTCTGCATGTCTGTCTGTGTTGTGTTTGTCAATTGTCTGACCGCCAGCAGGAGGAGCCACGGTGCTCAGCCACCCGCGTGTGTCATATTAGTTGCTCTGTGCGGCGTGTGGCTGCCCTCCGGAAGCCATAGGCCACTCCCCGACGCAGCTACCTCGGCCAAGCATCGCTGCCTACACTTTATATCCTGTTGTCCTGTCGTCGTTGTGTCTGTAGCCATTTCATGCAGGAGCAGCGCCCCCAGTGGGCCGATATCTCTCTGTCCCTCAGCGAGTTGGACGTCAGTCAAAGTTGAGGTCAAGGAGAACGAGATTCGGTGACCGGGTACATAAAAGAAATATGCTCAATAACAAACAGACGTGAGTGACCACCGCACACATATACACACGTGTCCGTGAATTTGTCGTCTCGTTCTATGTCCGTGTCCACACAGGCAGATTGATGCCTTGCAAGGCTGCTGACGAGCAGGCCGCCAGGCTGAATGACATCAACGCCCAGCTCAAGAAACTCACCGAGAACTCGCAGGTAGACGAGCAGGGTGACACCACAGACAGTCGCGTGTTGATGTGCGGATATAATTTGATGTGTGGATGGATGGCCATGGGTGTGTGCAGGAGTTGAACGGCCAGACCAACGAGTTGACCAAGGATGCTAGAGGACAACTGCAGGTGAGTGAGCGACACACATCCACAACCCCCCATCAACACACAGATTGATGTCATTCACCGCTTTGTTGAGTTTGCCGATCCGGCCACACATGACGAGGACGACAAGGCGTATCGGGAGTGCCTGAAGAATCGCGCGGGCTCGCTGTTTGTCGTTTCGGGGGAATCCAGCCAGCCGTAGGCTTCAACAGTCATCTTGCCTACGGTCCTCGTGTTTGTTTCCAAGAAGAAGGCCAAAGCAGACTGGACCCATCTGAGGCCTGTGTTGCCTATTCTCATGGAGCTCTTTCAAAGATCCTTTGCCAGCTGGAGACGCTCGTGATTGCGGTAAGGAGGGCGGGGGGCGGGGGAAGGGAGCGCAGGCTAACTTCATGAATCCGATCTCATGATTGTTATGATGCATGTGTATGTCCCTGGATGGACGATTTGTCGCAGTTCAAGACGGCCTGTAAGGCTGGAGATATGCTGGAAGCCTTCAAGATCTACACGCAGATCAAGGAGCAGCTGGTGGGTGTATACGTGGCTGTCTGTCCGTCTGTTTGTCTGTCTGTCTGTCTGTCTATGTGCACGGATACATATCGACAAGCTCAGACACATCCATCTATTGTCCTTCTTCTCTCTGTGTGTGCCCTTTTGCAGGCCATCGTGTTCCGTCTCAAGACGCTGCAAACCTCTTGGGGCCATCACGTAAGGACTGAAAGACAGAGCAAGCACCCATGCACATTCTGTCTGTCCGTCTGTTTGTCTGTCTGTCTATGTGCACACACCTTCAGTCTCACGCCGTGCTTCAAGATCTCATCGACAGACTTGAGAGCATGCGCAACTCCTTGTTGTTGTGGGAAGAGAGATGGAAAAAAGCGGTGAAATTGATGAATCGCGACCAAAAACTTATGCTTGCACGTCAGGTGAGACGATAAGATGACGAGCAGATGGCGCAGTGTAACTTTCTCTTCTCCAGATGGGCATGGCGCAAGGCCTCCAGCAGGGCATCGCCCAGGGGTGGGACCAGGCCACGCGATGCGTGGTCTGTTTCGCCGCCCCGAGGGACACCGTCACCCGACCATGCGTAAGCAGTGACAGACACTAGCCACTGGATGTACTCAGAAGTTGTTCCTCACTTGACCAATGTTTTCACTGTGTGTGTGTGTGCAGGGCCACATGTGCATGCGCCAGGGCTGCGCTGCCCATATTGCTCTCTGGCCCCATCTGCCAAGGCCCAAACAACCCGAATGCCCCGCTGCCCTCAAACGCCCCGACCTTCCTCTCGTGATAGTGCTGCCCGTGTTGCTTCCTGGGGGTGTATTCTCACGACTTATATCATCTTCGAACGCTGAGCGAGAGCGACACAGAAAATGTCGCAGCGGCCAGCGTCTCATCCTCGGCTTCATCTGGGGCAGACTGACCACCAGCAAAGGTGAGTACATGTAGAGAGAGCAATCAAGAGAGTCAGAGACGCCCAAACAAGACAGCTGCAGCGGCCGCAAGGGCAAGAAGATCACTCCATCAGTCAAACCTTCCCTCCCCTCGGTGTCTGCATCCACCATGTTGTCATCTGCAGAGCCTCGAGACCGAATACCAGGAGAATGGCTACTGTTCGTCAGCTGCAAGAGGCGCTGCGTGCCAAGGACGGCGAGATACAGGTGCTCAAGAGAGTGGATGTGGACAGGTGAGAAGTGGTGGAGCGGTAATGAATGTATGACTTTGAGGGTCTTCCTGTCTATCTGTCTTTGCCAGGAGAAAACCGCACGCAGAAGGAACGACTCGTAGGAAAGAACAAGAGACACTACACACACACACACACACCAACCCCACTCGTCCATCCATCCATCCATCCGTCTATCTGTCTGTCTGTCTGTCTGTCTGTGTGTCAGGACCATCTCGAGTCTTGAGCGTTCGACGAGAGGCATTTTGGCGATGACCTGCAGGCCAAGGACCAGTGCATCAAGCTGGCGGACAACGGCCCTCGAGCAGCCACCCCACCGCCCCCTGTCAACATGCACATGAGCCTGTCCCTGATCGGCAAGGCCCTTCTGGCCGAAGCGCAACGGCTTTCCTTGTTGGTGGCTGGGGTTGAGAAGAAGCAGAAAAGCCTGAGACAGAAGCGCACGGTGGGCAACGCGCGAAGTACACAGATGTGGGCGGGGGAGACACACTGTGATGCATGTGCGACAGGAGGAGATCTTCCAGCTGCGCCATGACCTCGCAATGGCGGACCACCCTCTTCGGCAGACAGCGCACCCGCGACACGTTGTTGGAGTCCTCATGTAATGGCCCGTGTTTCTTCCCTCTCTGTTTGTGTCTCAGCAGAAAGAGTTGTCCGAGTCAACCAACAACTGCATTCGTCTGCAAGAGGAGAACAAGCGCATTCGGCTGGACCTCGAGAGGACGCACCACGACCTCGGCACCAGCCACGAGAAGATGGCCACACGGGTTGAGACTATCGACAAGATGCACGCAGCGCTCGTGGTCAGAGAGTCAGGGAGGGAGGGAGGGAGGGAGAGAGGACCATGCTTGGGTGGATTGCCATGTTCTGCCTGCGTGTGCAGGAGGACAACGGTCGGTTGCTGGGTGAGGTGGACAAGACCGCACCTCGACAAGCCGCCAAAGCATGGCCACACGGGTCGAGAACGTCGACAAGATGCACAAGTGAGAAAACCAACATATGCACTCAACGATGAGATGGTGTCCGTGCACGCAGGAATGACGGCAAGAGCCCGCAGTCAATTGAGGGGCGTGATTGGTTAGTAGGAGGTCCCCGGGACGTCGCAGTCGCGATGCCTGGGGACCTCCTAGCGACCTTCACGGTGATGGCAGACATCAACACTGGGGAGGGAGGGCATCGAGACATGTGCCCTACTCGTCGGTCAAGTAGACGACAAGACATCCCCTAAAGGTAAGCGAGTCTGTCGGGAGGGATGTTCATCCCTCTGTGTATGTGTATCTGTGTGTATGTGGCTGCCTGTAGTGGTGAAGATCACCCATCTGCTGTTCCCCGGGCAGCGCGGCACCGCCAACACATGTGGTGAGGCTAGATGCACACAGCACTCGTGTTGACTGATGCAGGGAGGAATACAGGTGCCTGGATGCATCACCATACTCTCTGCGTGGGCCATTCCTGTGCAGAAGTCGACGCCCTTTCAACCGAATGCGCCGCTCTCAAGGAGGAATGCGACAAGTGAGAACAAATCACAGGACCCAAATCGCACATCGTACATACGGAGGTGCAGGTCTCGTGAGCGTGAGGCGGCCATCAGTGAGCTGCAGGCCGCTGTGGCCGAGAAGGACACGCAGATGGTGGAGATGAAGGAACAATTCGTACGAAAGACAAGACAGACACACACGAGATGCGTCGATGTCTCCGGCCATTCATGAGTGCTACTGCTTGCCCTCAGGACCTTCTGCAGCTTCACTACAACGACTACGTCATGCTCGCCCGTCGTCAACAACATAGAATCCAGGCGAAACAAGGAAGCATCAACGGTATACGGGACTGGTCGATGTACACGTGTCTGTCTGTCTGTCTGTCTGTCTGTCAATCTCGATAAGGGCATCGAGACAGAGAACCGGGCGTTAAAGGAGCGCCTCGTATGCAGGAAGAGACACACACTCATATGATACCTTTGACTTTTTTCGGGCTGCTTTGCGCTGCAGGACATGCTGCAAGGGCACTACAATCAATTGGTGATCGCCATCGGAGCCCCACTCCTGTCTGGCCCAGCCCCCACCACGCCCGCTTCCCCAACCTCCCCCACCCCCTCCCCGCGATCGGCCGTGACCCCAAGCACTTTCAAGCTCATTTGCGTCACCCTCTGTGCGACCCGCGCCAACGACCGACGTCACCCACACACATCAAGGGATGCCTGGCGGGACTCCACCGAGGAAGCTGCAGGGCATGCAGCAGCAACAGGCATTGCTGCATATCTAGAGGACGCGAAGCAGGGCCTCGGGTGAGACACCAGCAATTGCTTCACGAATTTCAAACAACGGTGTCGTGTCAGCAGTTGGCGGCAGACCATCATCATGACGGCGGGAGGATGTGGGTGAGGAATTGTTGCCTACATTTTATATGTGTCGGCAGTTTTCCATCGGCGCAGACGTCACCACAACTGACAGTGCTGCCCGCGCTGCTTCCTGGGGGTGGACACATAGACGAGTGAGTCGCTGGATTAAAAAGTGTGTGGGTGAAAAGTGTGTTTCGGTCTTTTATGTTGTCCATTGTGTTGCGATTAATGCACATGCGATGACTTCAGTCCATTGTGTGGCATTGCAATGCGTTGAAGTCTCGTCTGTCGCACACCACACCCGCCCCCGGGCATCTTCTCGCCCGTGAGTCGATGTATTATTTGCCCTCTTAATTGCATCTAATCTATCCAGGCACTGCTGTACACCTAATTAATCCATCCATCCACACAGTGACGTGTGCACTCACGCACAGACGTCCATGCATCAATGAGTCAATCACACACTCCCCCTCCCCCTCCCTCCCCCCACAGCCCTTTTCTCTATCTGTCCAATCAATAGGTCCATATGTCTGTCTGTCTACCGATATCGATATATCGCCCCACCTCTCAATAGCTTTCTTATGTCTACTTAATTTCTGCGTGCCGGGCCCCTGCTGTCTTTCTCTCAGAGGATGGTCTGGGAGTGCCGGGGGCGGCTGGCGGGCGGCGGGAAGGTCGTTCCCGGCCGGAAGGTCACCTGCTTACTCAAACGGCTGTCGTCCTGGGGGGGTTTGCCCATCTGCGAAGGGGGCGGGATCGACGAGAAGTACGCCGACGGCCCGGGGGGCTGCTGCTGCTGCTGCTGGGATGCGCGGGCGTTGGTGCCGATGAGAATGCGGCGGACCTCCTCCTCCTCTCGGTTGTCGGCTTTGTTGACGTATATCATGGCAATGGCGAAGATGAATATGAGGACAAAGACCACCAGCAGCACAGTCACTGCCTGGGAGGGGAGGGACAGGGCGCTGGTGAAGTCGGCCGAGTGGAAGAAGCAGACGACCGCCCAGAGCACCAGCAGCACGCCGAACACCTTCTGCAGTGTGGACATGGGGATGGGTGTGTGGCCGTCTGCGGGATCCCTGCCGGCCTTGATGGCCCACATGGTCGCCAGGAACAGCGGGATGAAGACCACCAACACCAGGGCAGTCATGAACCCGGAGGGCGAGATGGGCGGCTTCCAACCGAGGAACATCCTGTCGTAGTAGTAATCTCTGCAGTTAGTTAACACACACGCACATCCATCCATCCATCCATCCGCACACCGCCCCTGTGTCTGTGTGGTCATTGCAAACGTCTGTCCTTACATGGTGCCAGCGGGCTCTTCAGCTGCCTTTTCCAACTTGCTGGACTCCTTATCGGGCTGCGGCTGCCGGTGGTGCATTTGCTGCATCTGCCCTGCCGCCATGCTGTCAGCCTGCAGGTGGCCGTGTTGGCCCTGATGATACGAGCGGAACTTCGTCGCAGCAGCAGCAGCGGTTTGGTGGACTCGAGATGCGACAGGGGGCGGCGCCACCCTCACTGCAGCGGTGTCATAGAGGTGCAGGAGGGAGAGGATGAGGACTGATAGGACTGTCGGCATGATCATGATACTGGCAGTGGTCTGGTGGTGGGCTTTGGGCGGTGGGTGGTCAGATGAGGAGATCTTTCCACTGCTGCTGATGAGCCATTTCCTCCTTATCTCCTTATTTCTCAACGCTTATCAGCTGCTGCTGCCTTTGAACTTCCACAAGGCCACCAGATGCTATCTCCGATGGTTCGTTTCTCTGGAATCCTGGCCTCAAAATGCGAGCTTAGATGCGGCAGATCTCCGCCATGGTCTTGCGTCTGGTCCTGCTATGGTTGGTGGTGTGTGCATTGGGCTCTGTGGAGGAACATCGGGTGAAGAGCCTGCCAGGTATGGACACACAGATCTATACACCCTGAGTCCGAGCTCATCAATCCGCCTGTCTGGTCTGCAGGCTGGAAGGGACCTTTGCCGTCCAGGATGTATTCAGGTTCGTGCCCGTGGATGAATCAACGCTGCCATCAGCCTCATGAACGACTGACATCGGTCACGTGTGTGCTTCTGTTGCTTGTGCAGGTTACTTCAACGTGGCGAATGAGTCGAGTACCTCCTCTTCTCAGCGTTGGCTGATGCACTACTGGTTCATCGAGAGCGAGAGGGACCCCTCCGCCGACCCAGTGCTGCTCTGGATGCAGGTGCGCACACAGAACACATAGAAATACACACAGAGCCTTTGTGTGTGTGAATTGATTGGTGTGTGTGGCCACGGTGTGGCACAGGGTGGTCCAGGTGCGTCGGGGCTGTCAGGTTTATTGCAGGAGAACGGCCCACTGGCCGTCAACGACAACTCGTTCGGGCATGGCGATGAGCTCATAGTCTTCTACAACCAGTACACATGGACAGAGGTCGGTGAGCGCATGATGAGTGATCCCCTCCCCCCCCACACCCACATACAGAGAGAGATGTTGTGCCTTTGTTGTGTCGTGTGGCAGTTGTCGAGTGTCTTGTTTATCGAGTCGCCGTGTGGTGTGGGCTACTCTCTGTGTGAGGACCCGCCGGAGTGCCCGGTGTGGGATGATGACGTCACCGCGCAGATGAATTTCAGGTATATGATATACTGGACTCACGATCACACACGTTCAGTACGATTGGTCTGTGTGTCTATGTCATACAGGCTGCTGAAGCAGTTCTACACGGTACTTTGACCCGGATGCAAATGCGCTCAACACACACACCCATACACAGACTTGCCTCTGTGTGTGTGTGTGTGTGTGCAGCACTACCCCGAGTATCAGACCAACGACTTCTACATCGTCGGAGAGGCACGTATACACACACACACACACACACACACCGCACCTATTCTCTGACCTGTCCACCACTGTTCGTTGCTTTCTCGTTCAGAGTTACGGCGGCATCTACGCCCCAATGCTCGCGCACGAGATTCTCCAAGACAACACGTACACTCACACAACCGACCAGAAGACCAACACTCATTCAAATGGCCGCAACGTGTGTGTGCATGTCCGCAGGTCGCCGTCCATCCCGTTGGCAGGTGTGGCTGTGGGTGATGGGTGCACCGGCATGGAGGCAGAGGGCGGATGCTCACCCGACTACATGCACTGGGTAAGTGGGTGTAGCTGTCAGCCAAGAGACCTCCCTCCCTCGCACACACCCATTTCTTTGTCTGTGTGTGATGGATGGATGGATGGATCAGTATGTGGAGTTCCTCTTCGGCCACGGTCAGTTCTCGCCCCAGACGTACGGGCAGGTCCAGCGGGTGTGCGGCGAGGAGCTGAGGACAGGCACGTGGACCACCAACCAGCCATGCCGACGGGCCATCAAACAAATGGGCAGCGAACTCGGTGTGTGAGCCAGTCAGCCAGCACATATGAATGGGCGCGGTGCGGTGTCATATCATGTTGGCTATCGTGTGTGTGTCCATGTGTGCAGGAGGGTTCTATGTGTACGATCTGTATGACGAGTGCATCGGCCGCCATGACCTGAGGCGGCTGTCTCGGGGCCGCAGCGACAACAACGGCACATCGCAGCTTATCGGTCGGTGTTTACAGCATACCTACACTCATTGTCTGTGTACGCAACACATGTGCGTGCATCTGCATAGGTGGGGCGCTCAACGATTACGTGTGTGGTGGCGAGAGGGCAACCATTGCATGGCTCAACGACGACCGAGTCAGTTACACAAACACACACATACACACACACATATGGAAGCCCTTCTACGTACCCATCTCATCCCTGTGTGTCTGTCTTTGTCTGTGTGGTCAGGTCAAGGCGGCATTGAACGTCCGTCTGAACGTCACATGGCAGGAGCATGACGGATGGGGCGGTCAGCGCGCTCAGCACAACACACAGACAACCCACCCACCCACTCAGCGCCCATTGGTAAGAGTGTACACGTGTGTGTGTGTTCAGACCACTACAGGTCGACCGAGACGGATGTGCGCCCCTACTACCACGAGATGCTCAGCAAAGGCAGGCGCCTACACACACCCGAAATGCACACACACACATAGGCATCGCATGTGTGTATCCATGCTATAGGCGTGCGTGTGCTGATATACTACGGTGATGTCGACACGGACGTGCCGGTAAGGTAATTGGTGCACACGCAAGACACTCACACAGCACATGGATAGTCAGTCGGATGCACGTGTGTGTATGTATTTGTGAGGGTGTTTCAGTATAATGGCGGCGAGTACTGGACAAGGCGGATGGGCTACCTCGTCAAGGAGCACTGGAAGCCGTGGACCACCGACGGCAAACAACAAACAGCCGGGTCGGTGGGGCCGGGTAGCCAAGCAAAAAACACACAGGCAAAACAGACAGACAGACAGACAGACATTCATGTGTGCGTCTGATACCTGCCTGCCTGCCTGCCTGCCTGACTGCAGCCATGTGGTTCGTTACGATGCCCCGTCTGCATTCGACTACCTGACCGTCAGAGGGTCCGGACACATGGTATGGTGGGTCCGTCGGCCTCTTTCCTACACGGACAACACCCGAGTGCATGTGTGAGTGTGTGATTCTACCAGGTGCCTCAGTTCCAGCCGGTGTCGGCATTTGTGATGCTGCGTCAGTGGCTAGCCGACCAGCCATGGCCGCCATACACCGGCAAGGCGCCCAAACCACTGCTGTCCTCACACGGCCATGCTGATGACGAACAAGATGAACAAGACCTCGCCGACAGGTAGGTACTCATGAGTGTGTTGATGTGTGTGTATGTGTTGTGTGTGGTGTGCTGGTTCAGTCTGGGCATCGGTGTGTGCACGGGGTGCTACGGCAGAGTGCGCAGCAGAAGGAAGCCTCTCAGGCAGACAAACCAACAGGTCGGTGACCGCTCAGCAACCGAGGCGCATGTGTGAGCGCTTGTGTATGCGAGTGTGTGTGTGTGCAGCCACCAGCCCCCCCGTCACGGGCTGCAGTATTGTCTGCGTCGGCTCTCCAATCTTCTCTTGACGCGGCCCTGGCACGCATCAGAGAGCTGGAGGAACAGCTGAGACATTGCAATAGCAACAAGAGCGACAGCTCACAGGTGCTGTATGGCTGATGACGCGTGCACCCATGCCATGGATGGTGCTCATGTGGCCAGTACGTTCTTATGTCGGCGTGGGGCGGATTGAGTGGTGAGAGCTCAGGTTTTTCTGTGCGTGGCCCGGGGGCGGGTGTGGTGTGCGATAGACGAGACTTCAACGCATTGCAATGGCACACAATGGACTGAAGTCATCGCATGTGCATTAATCGCAACACAATGGACAACATAAAAGACCGAAACACACTTTTCATTTTCACTACTAGCGACTCACTCGTCTCCTCGCCCACACGGTGGCATACCTCTCTGAGCCGTGTGGGTCATCTCTCCGCATGGCGCTTGAACCCTCCGCGGCACTCCTCCCTCACCTCTGTAGTCTGCTTGTCGAGCTTCAGTCGTCCTCTCCCCATGCATCCCGTGTCACTCGGAGGGCTGTGCTGCCACGGACGTGAGATGATCTGTGTGTCGGGGCTGGGTCTCAATCAAGAGATCCCATATATTTTCCGGCAAGACACAGGCCTCTCAGGCCGGGCGAGGCTAGCTGCTCGCAGGAGATCGGCCTAACGCATGGCACGCCGCTGCGACGCTGCGTGTGTGTGTGGAAGTGCGCCTCCGCCTGAGATCATTCAGATCCATCAATTTGCATGGTCCCTCGGCTCCGCTTTCTCACCTGGATGAGTCCAATCGTGCAATCCGATGCTTTGGGTTTCGAGAGGGGGTTCAAACCCAAACCCTTTTGGCAGGCAGGACCATGAGAGTGTGTGTGTCATGAGTGAGCCGGCACCGAAGCGGCAGAGGTTGGCGGCCGAGGGAGAGGAGGATGATTCGAATGACGGACACCACGAGGCCGTGATGGACACCGACGGCGAACAGCAGCAGCAGCAGCAGGCCACAGCATCGCACGCGACACACAGCATAGATCTGGAGGCCTTCGCACAGTCCTTCAGCCAAATCGTAAGCTGCAGCAAACGAAACCACTGGCAAACACACACATCCTCATTGCCTCCTCTCTCTCTGTCTGTGTGGTGTGTTGTCCACTCAGCCGGTTGTTGTTGCCTACGTCTTTTCGTTCGTGTCGCTTCATTTGGTGGCGGCGCTGCCCCAGCGGCTGTGGCGCCACGTCGGCTGCCAGATCACCCGGCTGGTCATGGACACCTACGACACGGCCGAGCGGCGCTTCTGGTGCGGCCTCTCATTCGCCGACGCCTTCGAGTGGGGCCGGCGGCTCACACGGCTCAGGTCCATCGTGGTCAAATATCCGATAGAGCTTGCCGTCCCGAGCGATTTTGACTTCTTCACTCTGTCGCCGGTGATCGAGAAGATCGTCACGGCATTGGTGGAGGGCCACAGCGACGGGCGGAGAGGCGCAGCGGCCACAGCAACCGGGCTGCAGGGGCCAACCACATTGGAGTCCATCGACATAAGCAAGGGCGAATCGACCATCATCGTCGACGAGGCCGAGGGCCGCCATATCCTAGCTGCGACAGAGCCGTCGGCGGCCTTCCCCCCGCCCCTCAACCCGCCCCTCAACCCGCCCCCCACCCTCACATCCCT